ACAAGATCCACATTCATTCCTTATATTTACATTGGTTTATCTTTTGTGATAAAATATGTTCTTTTTTTTAATTGTAAAAATACCCGAAACCGTTGTTGCTTAAATCACCGATATCTGTCAATCAAGTTCACCGACCCGCCCCTAGCAATATAGTTCTATAAATTTACAGTCTTATTTGGATGATAGAATTATCAAATATTTAATATTCCATTGAAATATTAACAACAATTGTAAATTTAAATAAATTGTAAAATTAGATTAGACTCTAGGTAAAAAAATTGGGTCAATCCTTGTTTTCGTTTTCGATGTATTAATACGTCTTGTTATCACGTGACAAACTACAGTTATTGGGAAATAAACGCCAGTTTGGCTAACTGGTTTATTGAAGGGAGTGATAGTAGAAATGTAAATATTACATTATAAAAGCAGGTGTTACTATATTATACAAGTAAGCTTTGTTACATTAAGATAATTTGCCAGGCACGGTAATATACGCCCACTAGCAGCTTTGATTTTGAATAAAAATATTTAGCAGTACAGTAACAATCACCAGTATGAAATATTCAACCTTCAGTCATACACTCTTTTTGAACTCTTTAGCACAACACTGAATAATATTAAGTATGAGTTATTGCCCTTGTTCTTGAAAACGTGTCCAATCTTTAGCTCGTAAACACTCTAGAAGACAAATATTCAATCTTCAGGACTGAATAATAAAACCAAGTTTAGTCAAAATCCAGAAAGAATCATGCCTATTAGTGTTTAAGATTTAAAATTTGAAAGCGGTTTCAAGAACAAGGGCAATAACTCATACGAAATATTTTTCAATTCTTCTGATTTTCAATAGGGCTCATCCTTGGGTGATTACGAACATTCACACCAAGTTTCATCAATATCCGTCAAGAATTGTGCCTTCAAGAATGATTACGAGATAAAAATTGAACGCTTTTTTAATAGCAAGGGCAATAACTCATACTAATTATTTTTTGATTTTTCTGATTTTCAATAGGGTTTTGTCTTTGGGTGATACCAAAACTTCATGCCAAGTATTGACAAAATCCGTCAAGAATTGTCCCTTCTAGAGTTTTTACGAGCTAAAAATTAGTTTTTTAAATTCCATCGCACGTCACTTTGCAAATGAAATTTATGTCACATATACCTGTCATTACTGTCAACTACCTAGCTTGGTTCATCTACTTCAAATTCTAACAAAATCATCATTTATTAAAACCTACACATACTTAGTTTCATCATTTGTTTAAAACATAATCACTTAAAGATGGGTTCCCTTATTTTTATTTATGAAAATGAAAATGCTAATACTTATATGAATAGAAAGTAGAGGTGTTCTAATGACTTGGAAAAATACTAGTTTATCTCACATGTCCATAATTAATTCATAATTAGCTATAATTTATCCAGACATGGACATTTATGTTTGGATTAAGAATACATGATATTTATAAGAAACACCAATTAATCGAATAGTTTGTTTAATTTGAAAACCATATTTAACACTTAAAAGATAGGACATTGGTTCATTTTTATACGCCCACATGAAATGGGGGGCGTATATTGCTCATAAACACTCTACATGGCACAATTCTTGATGGATTTTAACGAAACTTGGCATGAGAGTTCGTAATCACCCAAGGATAAACCCTATTGAAAATCAGAAGAATCGAAAAATATTTAGTATGGGTTATTGCCCTTGTTCTTGAAAACGCGTTCAATTTTTAACTCGTAAACACTCTAGAAGGGACAATTCTTGACAGATTTTGATGAAACTTGGCGCGAATGTTCGTAATCACGCAAGGATTAACCCTATCGAAAATCAGAAGAATTGAAAAATATTTAGTATGAGTTATTGCCCTTGTTCAAATTTGGCTCTTAAACACTAAAAGTCATGATTCTAGCTGGATTTTGACAAAACTTGGTTTTATAATTCAGTTCCGCTCTGAAGATTGAATATTTGCCTTCTAGTTTTCACGAGCTAAAAATTGAACAAGGGCAATATTACCTTGCCTGGCAAGCTATCTTTAATGTTCCTCTCCAGTATGTGTTTTCATGTGGCTATTAATACCACTTTCTTGAGAAAAACACATTTTACAAACATCACATTTATAAGGTTTCTTTCCAGTATGTATTCTCATATGAATATCTCGTCTTCTTGCCACAGCAAAACACTTTTTACAAACATCACATTTATAAGGTTTCTCTCCAGTATGTATTCTCATATGAATATCTCGCCTTCTTGCCTCAGCAAAACACTTTTTACAAACATCACATTCATAAGGTTTCTCTCCAGTATGTATTCTCATATGAATATTTCGCCTTCTTGCCTCAACAAAACACTTTTTACAAACATTACATTCATAAGGTTTCTCTCCAGTATGTATTCTCATATGAATATCTCGCTTACTTGCCTCGGTAAAACACTTTTTACAAACATCACATTTATAAGGTTTCTCTCCAGTATGAATTCTCATGTGAACATTGAGCGAATTTGCCTTTGAAAAATATTTTTCACAAACACCACATTTATAAGGCTTCTCTCCAGTGTGTATTCTCATGTGAACATTGAGCGAACTTCCCACTGTAAAATATTTTTCACAAACATCACATTTGTAAGGTTTCTCACCAATATGTATTCTCATGTGAACATTGAGTTGACCAGCTTGTGTAAAACTCTTTTTACAAACATCACATTGATAAGGTTTCTCTCCAGTATGAATTCTCCTGTGAACATTGAGCGAATTTGCCTTTGAAAAATATTTTTCACAAACACCACATTTATAAGGTTTCTTTCCAGTGTGTATTCTCATGTGAACATTGAGCGAACTTGCCTCATTAAAATATTTTTCACAAACATCACATTGGTAAGGTTTCTCTCCAGTATGTATTCTCATGTGAACATTGAGTTGACCAACTTGTGTAAAACTCTTTTTACAAACATCACATTGATAAGGTTTCTCTCCAGTATGTATTCTCATGTGAACATTGAGTTGACCAACTTGTGTAAAACTCTTTTTACAAACATCACATTGATAAGGTTTCTCTCCAGTATGAACTCTCATGTGAACATTAAGACTATTTGACTGAGTGAAACATTTTTCACAGACATCACATTTGTGAATTTTCTGTTTTTTCAAAGTATTTTCCATTATATAATATCTTGTGGGTAAACAACAATGGCAGAACAGGAAGTGTGATATTTTACGGATTAACTATGATTTATGGATGGGTGTTTGATTTGTAAATGCTCACCAACTAGTCTACTGTTTGCTGGCTTTTAAATATTGAGGATTGTTAAAAAAAACAATGAGAAATATTCCCTGTATAATTTGTAAGTTAAATCTGAGTCATTACCATAAAAGATATAAAAAATATTTTATTTTGATTCACAAGTCAACTTGGTGTTTGAAACAGTTGCATTATGCAGCAGTTTGTCAATTTTCGGTAGTAAAAAGATCTTGAACTACCAAAAACGCATTCCTACCAAATATATTTTAAGAATCATTCTCATGCTTTAGTATCAGTATTTTAAAAAAAGTTTTTTGTCAACTGCACACCAAAATTAAGAGAAATGTGTTCCTTGACTGATTTTAACGCCAAAAATAGTTAAAAGGTTTGATTTTAAATTTTTTAATCCATACGTTTACGTAAACATCTGCTATGTTTTTTGGCGTACTTACTAAAACATGAACCGACCAGAAACGACCAGGAAACGACCAATGAAAACGTGAAACGACCTGGAACCGAGCAGAAAAACGACCAGGAAACAACCTCAAACTATTTTGCAATGAATTCTAAGCATGTTAATCAGGCGGAAAAATCATCAATCATTTTTAAAAAATGTGCATTTTTGAAAAAATGAAAAATTAAATTGACCCCTTCTTGATGTTTTTAAATACCCTCATGTCATTGGTTAGAGCAGACGTCATTGAGTTAAGAGAAAAACAAAAAACTTGCTGTGGTCCGAGTTTGATTGGCTGTTAAGTTGTCATGGTCAAGGTCATGAACTTTGAAAGCTATTGTCATCCAGTAACTTGCTGTGTTATATTCTATATATACAGTCTATTTGTTAGACTCAAAAACAGATAACGTACATCAAATATCTAGTAACAAATAATAACAAAATAAAATTTATATCTTGAGCTTTATTTAATCTATTAAGCCATTTGAGCACAAATGAAGCTTAGTTTTAGTAGAATTGCAAATACCACAGACGTCTGATTGGAAATTGGAATGGTGCAAATTGAGGCTATCAGTGTACCGTCCCGATACACATAGAAAATTTAGAAAACCTCTCTATAATCCCTAGGTTCAAAGAAAATGCTATGCGTATTCTTCTAGACACCTGATACCTCATTTCATTATGGAATACGTCCTCACTAATGATTGATATACTTCCTCATGTGAAAAGTTTATTATTGAATGGTCATCATGAAGAATTCTTTGATCAAGTTCTTGCTATTAGTAATGACTTATCTAAAAAATGATCTAGTAAAATGTTTGATAAAATTACATCGACAATTTGGTCATGCGTCAGCTGAACGATTACAGCGGTTATTAAAAAGTGCAGACATGTCAATCTAGAATATTTGATATATTGGATTAAGTTGTACAACAATGTGATGTCTGTCTTAGATACAAAAGGACGTCTCCTAGGCCTGTTGTTGGTTTACCTCTTGCTAGTCAATATAATGAAACTGTTGCCGTTGATTTACATGAACTTGGCCCAAATGTATGGTATTTACATATTATAGATGAATTTACTCGTTTTAGTGCAGCTTGTATTGTAAGATCTAAACAGTCATCAGTTATTACTAAAAGTTTCCTTTTGTTCTGGGTTAGTATTCATGGCGCACCTAAAAAACTTTACAGTGATAATGGTGGAGAGTTTTGTAACAAAGAAATTCAAGACATGGCTGAAAATTTAAATATTGAACTAAAGACAACTGCAGGATACAGCCCTTGGTCAAATGGTCTTCTTGAACGTCACAATAAAATTCTTACTGAAATTCTAAATAAAGTTTGCGCAGACAATAAATGTAGCTGGGAAATAGGCTTAGCATGGGCATTGATGGCGAAGAACTCTTTAATAAATAATCACGGTTTCAGTCCATATCAGTTGGTGTTCGGACAATTTCCAAATTTGCCATCTGTTCTAGTAGATTTTCCACCAGCTTTAGAAGGTTGTACTAGAAGTCTTACGGTGGGTAAACATATTTCATCTTTACATGAAGCAAGACAGGCTTTTACTGAATCAGAATATTCTGAAAAGATAAGAAGAGCATTGAGAAAGAATACCAGACCAACCATCGAGCCATTCACAACAGGTGAGAAAGTTTATTATAAAAGGCCAGCTTCAGATGAGTTGAAAGGACCTGCCACTGTTATTGGTAATGATGGTCTTGTTTTTGTAAAGCATGGTAGCTCATGTGTCCGAGTTCATCAATTTCGATTATCAAAGGTTAATCCAAGAAACAGTGATCCTAAAACTAAAACCATTTCTCTTCCTGATAATAATGAACCAGAAAAGTTAGTTTATGAGGATGATGACGAAAGTTCTTTGCCTGTCTCCATTGAGCCAAGTAACGCTGCAGATCTTGATATTTCTGATTTTTCATTTAAGACTGGCCAGGTTATTAAATTCAATTTTGAAGAAAATGGTGAATGTACAACTGAAGTTATGGGAAGAGCTGGAAAGGCAACTGGCCGAAATAAGTACTGGTACAATACTAGATATTTACAACCTGATGTTCTGGCTGGAACAGAAATTTCTATAAATTTACAAGATGTTGATAATTTACAGCTACAGCCTACTTCAGAAAATGCCAACAATGATAGTGTTGAAGAGAATATGGTTGTAGATGAATTGGATAGCTGGAAACAAAATGGTGTCTATATTGAGGTCGAAAATGTTGGTCTAAAATGTATTTCTGTTAAATGGATCCGTACCATTAAACAACGTCCCGAAGGTTTGAGACCTAAAGCAAGGTTAGTTGTCAGAGGTTTTGAGGAGATTGATCACGATAGTTTACCTAAAGATTCTCCTACATGCTCTACTGAAGCTTTAAGAATAATTTTGAGTATCTTTGCTCACAGAAAATGGATCCCACACTCAATGGATATCAAAATTGCTTTTTTACAAGGTTCAGAACTATCCAGAGACATTTTTATTAATCCTCCAAAAGAAGCTAATCTTACATCAAATGTAATTTGGAAATTAAAAAAATGTGCGTATGGTTTATCTGATGCTTCTCTTTCTTGGTATAAATGAGTTCGAGATGTTATGGTATCAATTGGTGGAAAAATGTCTTGTGTGGACCCTGCTGTCTTCTATTGGTATGAAAATAGTGAACTTCAAGGAATACTCGCAAGCCATGTTGACGATTTTGTTTGGGGTGGTACGTCAAAGTTTAAGGAAAAGGTGGTAACAAAAATCAGACAGACTTTTCAGATTGGTACTGAAGAAGTTGAAGCTTTCAGATATGTTGGCATTGAAATAAAATTTGAAGATGGTACAATATTTTTGAAGCAAGACACTTATATTGATAATCTCAAATCTATTAACATTGATAAGACATTAGATAGATCTACTGAATTGACTGGTGAATATTTGAAGATTTATCGTTCAAAGATTGGTCAGATATTATGGGTTGCAAGACAAAGTAGGCCCGATATAATGTTTGATGTGAGTAAATTTGCAGCAACTGTCAATAAAGCTTCCGTACAGAATTTATTTGAGATTACTAAGTTAATTGGAAAATTGAAGTCGTAATCTGTATGTCTAAGTTTTCAACAATTGGGTGAGGATAAGGATTTAGAGTTAATAGTGTTCAGTGATGTTTCATTAGGTAATTTGCCAGATGGTGGAAGTAAGGGTGGACATTTCATTATTTTAAAGGGAGTAGATGGTAAATTCTCACCATTATGTTGGCAATCTAAAAAAATAAGACGTGCAGTCAGAAGTACCTTTGCAGGAGAAACTTTAGCTTTAACAGATGGAATAGACAATGCTGTGTTTCTGTCAACTTTATTCATGGAATTAGTTTACAACAATCCCACCACATCTTTAGGACTTCCTATCACTTGTGTTATTGATAACAAAGCTTTGTATGAATCAATTTTATCTACCAAGTGTACCATTGATAAACGTTTAAGGTTGGAAATATCCGTTATTAAGGAGCTAATTGAACGAGAACAAATAAGGAATATTTTTTGGTCTAATACAAAATTGCAATTAGCTAACTGTTTAACAAAACGAGGGCATCTTAATTTCCTGTTAAGAACTTGAGTAATGGCATCTGGAAATTGGAAGATACTTAAATTTATGTGCCCTGTGTAACTTCATTCATGGTATTGGTGTTCTGAGTTAACTGAGTTAAACATTTTATATATATATTGTATATGTGTTTCTCTAATGAGGGGGAGATTGTTGACATTATGGTGTTTAGTCCAACCCTGCAATATGATGTTTAAAGTACATTATGGTGTTTAGTGGAACCGCAATATTGGTTCAACCCGGAAGTGACCTGATATGGATGAAGATAACAGGAAGTGAATGAGTAACTAAGGACGCTAGAGAAACTGTTTATATGTGAGTGGAATTGGGAAGTCATGTTGACTGGTGTTTCATATAGATGATGTAGTGAATTAAATTAAAATAAACACTACTAATGTTTCGTCAACACTATATATACTCTGTATGGTATTATTATACGTCGTTACTAGCCTAATCACAGACACACGAACAATGTAAAACAACATTTATTGTGATTGAGTATTATTATTACAATTTAACTTGATAAAGTAAATTAGTGGGACTCCATCAATTCTCTCAGTTTTTACATTCAGATTTAGTTCTCTTGTGATAATTAAGTGATGATTTTGAAATAAAACACTTTTTACAAACATCACATTTATAAGGTTTCTCTCCAGTATATATTCTCATATGAATATCTCGCCTTCTTGCCTCAACAAAACACTGTTTACAAACATCACATTTATAAGGTTTCTCTCCAGTATATATTCTCATATGAATATCTCGCCTTCTTGCCTTGCAAAACACTGTTTACAAACATCACATTTGTAAGGTTTCTCTCCAGTGTGTTTTCTCATGTGTACAGTAAGATTACTTACCAACAAAACACTGTTTACAAACATCACATTCATAAGGTTTATCTCCAGTATGTATTCTTTGGTGATCATTTAGCGAACATGCCATTGTAAAACATTTTTTACAAACATCACATTTATAAGGTTTTTCTCCAGTATGAACTCTTAAGTGTCTATTAAGATTATTTCTCCGCGTGTAACATTTTTCACAAACATCACACTTGTGAATTTTTTTTTTCTAAGAGTATTTTCCATTGCAACTTGTTTTCCTTTAAAACAAAATGGATCATCAACATATTCAGTTGAACACAATTGTCTAAATTGAGGTGAGGTGGAAACAAACAGATCGTTTCTTATATCACTATAGCGAGGAGAATTTAATACAAAGTGAAAAATATCTTCAGACAAAAAATTACATAATGGACGACGAGGACTACTTACAATTTTCCTTTTAAATAAAACACATACAACAGGACAAAAACGACCACTTTTCCCAGAGCACCTGTAGTGGAAATGCTTTTGTGGATTCCAAGAACAGATTTACAAAATTGTGAGTGAACATTGATAATAATAATGACTATATTGAAGATGGGTTTCCTTACTGTGTCAAATTAAGCAAACTATTTGATCAATTGGTGTTTCTAATGAATTATCATCATTATGTTCTTATTGCATATAATTAAGAGTTTTAACCAATCATAAATGTCCATGTATGTACAGTCTGGATAAACAAAAAAGGACTTTTTGACCTTTCTTGATCGGTCACTCGTTGGAATTCTGCTGGTAATTCTCTTCTAATCTAGCTAATTATGAATTAATTATGGACATGTGAGACATACTGGTATTTTTCCAAGTCATTAGGACACCTTTACTTTCTATTCATACAAGTATTAGCATTTTCATTTTTATAAATGAAAATAAGGGAACCCATCTTTAACATAAGAAATTAGGCTAATAAAAGACAGCAAGGTAACATACGCCCACTGGCAGCTGTCAGAAATGATAAAACAGACTTTAGTGAGTGAATAAAGTATGAATTTTCTCATATTAAAGAAATTTTAATAGTTTGAATTCAATGATATATATATTTACTGCCAGTTATTTATGTTGAGATATTCCACCAAATGTTAAAAATCAGCATCAATAACCTAAATACATCAAATTATCGCATCAATGTACATGATCACAAACAAATTTCAACACGTTTTTCCTAAGTCAAGGGCAATAACTCAAAGACTGTTCATCAAAATATCAAATTCAAACTTGTCAAAGATCTCATCCATGTAAATGATCACACCAAATTTCATTAAAATCATCTGAAAACTTTAGTCTCTATAGTGTTCACAGTCAAATTTTGACACGTTTTCCTAAGTCAAGGGCAATAACTCAAAAACCGTTCAAAATGAGATGGTGCAAATTAATGTTATCAGTGTCGTGGATACACAAAATTTTTAGACCACGAAACATTCGTAGCAGCTAATGAATTCTATACATGAGGAAGTTACAGTTAAACATGGTAGATATATAGTAATCAAACTCTCCCTCTCTAACAAGGGATTTTGTGATACAAACAAAAGGTGCAACCAGTGTCTAATGCCTTTCAGAATACAATATTGGTTTACGTCATAAAATCTCAGCGTTTGAGAGGGAAGAAATTGATTGGTCGATGGTGCCATGAATGTTCAAGAGGCTCTCTCGTCTTTAGAGCCTAACTGAAGTACCTATATTAAACAAAATAGCTAATAAAAAACGGAACGTAAGTTTATTTCAAATTTTATCAGACTGGTAAATAAAATTCTTTTTGCAACCCAACTCGATATTTTAGTTTTAATCATGTGTTTTAGCAAGAATTTTTAAACCTTGACAGTTTACGAAAAATTTCCCACAAACGTCACATTTCTTTAGTATGAATGTTCATGTGACCCTTAAGTGAACTTGATGACGTAAAACCCCTTTTACAAACATCACATTTATAAGGTCTCTCCCCGGTATGAATTCTCATGTGAACAGTAAGTGAACTTGTTGTTTTAAAACCCTTTTTACAAACATCACATTCATATGGTTTCTCTCCAGTATGAATTCTCATGTGAACAGTAAGTGAACTTGTTGACGTAAAACCCTTTTTACAAACATCACATTTATAAGGTCTCTCTCCGGTATGAGTTCTCATGTGAACAGTAAGCGAACCTGGTGTCGTAAAACCCTGTTTACAAACATCACATTTGTAAGGTCTCTCTCCAGTATGTATTCTCATGTGCTCAGTAAGATTTTCTGACCGTGCAAAAAACTTTTTACAAACATCACATTTATAAGGTTTTTCTCCAGTATGTATTCTCATGTGAAAAGAAAATGAACTTCTTGTTTTAAAACATTTTTTACAAACATCACATTGGTAGGGTTTCTCTCTAGTATGAATTCTCATGTGCTCAGTAAGATTATCTGACCGAGAAAAACCCTTTTTACAAACATCACATTGGTAGGGTTTCTCTCCAGTATGAACTCTCATGTGAGCAGTTACTGAACTTTGTACGGAAAAAAACTTTTTACAAACATCACATTGGTAGGGTTTCTCTCCAGTATGAACTCTCATATGAATATCTCTCCCACTTGCTTCAGTAAAACACTTTTTACAAACATCACATTCATAAGGTTTTTCTCTAGTATGAATTCTCCTGTGAACAGAAAGTGAACTTGTTGTTTTAAAACCTTTTTTACAAACATCACATTTATAAGGTTTCTCTCCAGTGTGTATTCTCCTGTGCTCAATAAGACTTTCTGACCGAGAAAAAAACTTTTTACAGACTTCACATTGATAAGGTTTCTCTCCAGTATGAACTCTCATGTGAGCAGTTAATGAACTTTGTACGGAAAAACACTTTTTACAAACATCACAATTGTATGGTTTCTCTCCAGTATGAACTCTCGTGTGAGCATTAAGAATTGATGGCGCTCTGAAACATTTCTCACAAACATCACACTTGTGAATTTTCTTTTTTCTAGAAGTATTTTCCATTGCAACTTGCTTTCTTTTAAAACAAAATGGATGAACAGGAAGTGAGCTATTTTACGGATTAAGTTCAGATTTATAAAGAGGTTTCTGATTTGTAACACTAAATTACGGATTGAATAATATTCACAAACTACTATCTGACTACATTGAGTTTTGAATTGAAATTTTTCATCTAAATTCATTAAAATTCAAAAAAAATTGAAAACTGTATGCCCTTTGTCTTAGAACATCTTCTGGAGCACAAAGATATAATTTTCAGTAATTTTACATTTGAAAGATACACTTCTCTCTCAGAAAATTCACATGAAGATAGCTTGTCAGGCAAGGTAATATACGCCCAATGACAGATGTCAGAAATTATAAAATCTTTATTGAATAAATTAGAATTTTCTCATACGGAATCAGAATAGGTTTGCTTGGGACTATCCTATGAAATCTTAAGATTTGTGATTAAATAATGCCAGAAAAGGTATGTTTTTGATGATATGAATTTTTGAAAAATGCTAGTTGAATGTGCATTCCCCGGTCAGTGATGCAGGTCAGGGTGGCTGAAGGTCTGGAGTTTAATCCTGTCATAGATAAAGATAGTAACTTAGGATCTTCCCCGGTCAGTGATGCAGGTCAGAGGGGCTGAAGGTCTGGAGTTTAATCCTGTCATAGATAAAGATAGTAACTTAGGATCTTCCCCGGTCAGTGATGCAGGTCAGAGGGGCTGAAGGTCTGGAGTTTAATCCTGTCATAGATAAAGATAGTAACTTAGGATCTTCCCCGGTCAGTGATGCAGGTCAGAGGGGCTGAAGGTCCGGAGTTTAATCCTGTCATAGATAAAGATAGTAACTTAGGATCTTCCCCGGTCAGTGATGCAGGTCAGAGGGGCTGAAGGTCCGGAGTTTAATCCTGACATAGATAAAGATAGTAACTTCAGATCTGTGATACAAGAATGATGGTTATTGTAGTCAAGGTATGAGACACTTGTAGTAATAGCTTGACATTGGGAAGATGGACTGGTCAAGATCAGGTGGTCAAGTATTGGAATAAGCTACCCATTGACATTCTTTATAAATTGTTTAAAAACCGAGGATAAACAAAAGTTTTTATATAGACACAGCTTTATGGAACAACAATCACTGGTTTAAGTTTTATGCAACATTTCGACGTGTTTCCCCCGTCGTCCTCAGGCACATAATGAGAAGAAGTGATGGGCAAACTACATATACATTAATGCTTATTATTAAGAACACACAAGAGATAAATGGTTTATTGATACATTACATTAAATTTTAACAGGTACAATAAGAGGTATATAATTCTTAAAATAACATACAGGCTGATTAAGTAAAATAATTGAAGTAAAGTAAATGAATTAAAAAAGATTAATTGAAGATTAAATAAACAACTATTGCTGGTATTGGAGTCTTTTATTAATAGAAACTACATTGTTCATATAACTAACTATGCTTAAAGTTGGAAATTGTTTTTGAATATGAATAATTACAAGTTGATAAGTTTATCATATGCATGCGATAAACGAACACCTTCATCTCTGTTAAGGTCAGGCTGATATCTTCTGATGTGGATAGCTTCATGAAGTCTCCTGGTTTTATCTATGTGCTTATTGATTGTCAGTATGTTGGTGTTGTCAAAGTTGACTTTATGTCCTGTTTTCCTTCCCATAGCAAGATGTTCAGCCACAGCAGATTTTCCTTCATTGCCGGGCTTGTCTTGATGGTCTTTGAGTCGAACATCAAGGGGTCTCTTTGTTTCCCCTATATAAGAACTTCCACAGGAGCACTCAACTTCCCTTAGGTTTTTGGTTGTTGGAGGGATTCAATTTACCACTGGCTCTGAGCAAATCTTTAAGCATTGAGTTGCCAGAGAACACTGTTTCAATGCCGACTGACTTTTTCAGGATCTTCTTGATTTGGTATGATGCTTTTCCGATGAATGGGATAGCTAAGCGGGTTGATGGTCTGTTGGGATTAGGCTGTTGGTTGGTTGGTTTTGCCATTAATACGGATCGAAAAGCTTGATGTACAAAGGCTGGAGGGTAGTTGTTGTGCAAGCAGAATACTTTCTTGATGTGTTGTACTTCTTGTTGAAAGTATTCTGGGTCACAAATCCTTTTTGCTCTTCTGACCAGCGCTGTGATGGCTGCCCTTTTGACATGTTGAGGGGTGTTGGAATGGTAGTTCACATATTGATCTGTATGCGAAGGTTTCCTATACACGCATGTCTTCAACTGACCTCCTAAACGCTTAATTCTCACATCCAGAAAGGGTATAGAGTCATCTTCTTCTGCTTCCATGGTGAAATTCATCCTCTTATGCAATAAAGTTTTTTATTTAAAAATGTGAACAGTTGATTAAAGAATAAAATTAGCATGGCTTTAGTGAATAACCCCCCAGCGCCCAGAGATACAAACATAATACAATCATGTTTACATATATAATGTACAATTTCATTAGAGCACATTAATACTTGTTCATAAATAAATAATGAAGAGCGAGTAACAACATGTTTCTATCTATTTGTTAAAAACTGAGAGACGTTCGTATAGCACTATAAATTAAAACTTATTTGGATTGATGTCGTCTGATCTAAATATCTCGAAATTGCCCAAATAACATCAACATATTCAGTTGAACACAATTGTCTAAATTGAGGTGAGGTGGAAACAAACAGATCGTTTCTTATATCACTATAGCGAGGAGAATTTAATACAAAGTGAAAAATATCTTCAGACAAAAAATTACATAATGGACGACGAGGACTACTTACAATTTTCCTTTTAAATAAAACACATACAACAGGACAAAAACGTCCACTTTCCCCAGAGCACCTGTAGTGGAAATGCTTTTGTGGATTCCAAGAACAGATTTACAAAATTGTAAGTGAACAGCAATAATAATAACTAGAGCCAATAGGTTACGTCACTGAAGCAGTGCATTCTAGGAATTGATGCAACTAAGAGAGTATTTATCATGCGACTCCAGCTACTTCATAGTATTCCCTTCGCCATTGACAACTTTGTATTACAACGTTATATACCCCTTATGTTTCTTTTAAAACTTTTCACTGGTCAA